CCACCTGTACACGCCATCTCTGCTGCTTTGATCGTTGCTAGGTCCTGGAGGTGCTATGGATGAACCAGGCAATGTGGGAAGTCTGCCTCTTCTTCAAACAGGGCATTATTCGGACATTCAGATGTGGGGTGCGCCACGGAGGACAGCCGCCCCGTTGTTGGGGAGCTTGAGAACGGCGATCGCTTCGTGTTCCGAGGTCTGCCCGACATATGCTACGATCAAAGCAGAGCCGCTGCTGGCTGCCAACCCGGCTGTCAGACATGCCAAGCGTGTGCCACAGGCAGCCACCGACAAACTCCTCAAGCCAACGGCTTGCGCCAAACCAGCGTGCATTTACCAGCGTGCAGGCGGATGATTAGCGCCAGTCTCTCCGGTGGAGGCAGCCCCCGCCACCTTCCCCCGCCACCGCCGCTGGTGACGAGGAGTCTGCTGTGTTGGCGACCGACTGCACCGCAGATTTACACGTGCAGAAGAGGACTGTCGCCACCACAGATGCAGCCAGGCCTCTGGGAAGCGCCGCTCGCAGGGTCGTCACTCCGCCCCCGGCAGCTGGAACGGCGGTGGGATGGAGCCGTCCACGTCAGTAAAACCGTACTGCCTTGCCAGCTCCGCCACAAGCAGGACCTATAGGACAGAAAAGAAACGGTTCCAGAAGGGCAATGCATCAGGAGCCCGGGAGACAACGCAGCCAGCACAGAAGAGTATGGGGGGGACGTCGCAGCCAGCACAGGTGGACCCTCACACCACAGGGCCCCTGGAGTGCGGCTGCTGTTGGGCGCCGCCCGCACCTGCCCGCTGTGCCGCAGCACAGCGGCGTCGCCAGCCAGCGCCGCCACCGCCCTGCCCAGGTACTCTGGCGTCTCGCTGCCTGCCGCAAGCTCGGGCACCTCCCGCCAGTGCTGCTCGTCTGCGGCGGCAGCAACCGGCAGGTGAAGGGTGGCAGGTGAAGGGCGGGGGGGCTGGCACCGTGCTTGAAGTGTGCATGCCCAGGCCTGCAGTGCATGCTGCGCCTGCATGCAGACACCAGCACATGTTGCAGCGTGGCCAGCCGGCCCGCCACGATTCGCGCAGCGCACCCGTCTTGTATGCCTGCAGCACCCGCTCGGTGCGCATGTGGCCAGGGGAGAGTGCCACGGATGCCACGCCCATCGGCCGCAGCTCCTCGCCAAGGCAAAAGGCCAGCCTGCACAGCAACAGCGCCACGGCAGCAGGCAGGACGCGGAAGGCGGGGAGGCGGGTGGCGGCGGACAATCATGCGGTACTGGCATGAGAGCAGGATGGGCTGAGAAGCTGGGGGCGTTGCCCGGACGCCATGCAACCGCTTTGGTGCGGCGCCTGTCGAGGAGGGCTTTGCTCAGGTAAGCCTCACGCCAGCCAGCCTCGCGCTAGCATCAACCCCAGCCACGAATTGTATCCCACAGTCATCAATGGGAGTCACCTGTTGAGGCTGGCCTTAGCCAGATCATAATACAGGTTACCCAGGTAAGGGCTGCTGCCGCCACCAGCGCCAAACGACACGCTCACAATCAGGCCGCTGCCCTGCGCCGCCATCAGCCGCGCCGCGTGCTGCGAGGCTGCAGCGGCAGGCCGGGGCGGTGGGGGACTCGCAAGCACGCAGAGGTAGGCGCTGGCGGCGGCTGCACCAACCTCCCTCCGCAGCTTCCTGACAGCCCTGCGCTGCCAGCCCAGCCCGTCCAGCCCTCCACTGCCCCTGCGCACTGATGCCACCCTCCCATCCAGCTCAGCCCAGCCCGGCCGCTCCAATGAACCTCCTCCCTGCCTGCTCACCTACCAGCGCCGCCCGCACCCCCGCCACAAACATAGAGTCCCAGTACGCCGCAGCCTCCACCTCCCAGCTGGGCGTGCCCCAGTCTGCCTGCAGCCGAGGCAGCTCGTTGCCACCCCAGGCCGCATTCACCAGCACATCTAGGCGCCCCTGCTCCCGCTGCACGCGGGAGAAGAGCGCCGCAACCTGCGGGCCGTGGTGTGTTGGGACGGCGGGTAGCGGTGAGGGAGCAGGCGGGGAAGCGCGGGAAGCCACATGGTGCAATGCAGTACCCTGGTAGTACCTGCCGGGGCAGGCAGGCAGGGTGGGGGCAATGTGCGCGATGCCGTCGCCCACGGCAAGCTCAGCAGGCCCCCCCCCCCCCGCTGTAAGGTAAAGCAAGGTCAAGGTCGCTGTGAGGCTCTCGCCTGCTCATCAGATGTGTGGTCCACAGGCACCGCCACGCCGCGCCCCCCTCGCCGCGTCACCTCGTCTGCAGTGTCCTGCACCGTGCCCGCAGCTCCGTCCGCCGGCGGCGCCCCGCCCCGCACGCTGCGCCCTGTCACATACACAGTGGCGCCGGCGCTGCCCAGCGCACGCGCCACGCCGGCACCTGCACGTGCGGGCGGTGGGTGCGGGGGGCGGGAGGGCTGGGGGAGCTGCCAAGTGGCTGGGCCGTTGCAGGTGGGGGCATCGGCGGCATGGAACGGATGGGTTTGTGCGCCCACGTAGGCTTTTGCTGAGGCGCTGGCTCCCAGGCGTGCCGAAGTCCCGAAGTCCCGGACTCGCCTGCGCCCCTGCTTGCTCCCGTCACCACCGCCACCTTGCCACTGAGTGCTACCATTGGTCATCACAACACATCGAATGCTGGGTCCTCGCACAGACATTTCTGTGCCCTGCCAGCTTGGCGTGTGCTGGCGCCCGCACCGCCACATTCTCCATTCGCAGATGGGCTGGCTGCTGCAGATGATTACAGTGTGGCACGCACTGCACAGGTTTTAGGGTCATGCGATATCAAATGAGTGGGAGAGGGGTGGCGCAAGCGGCAGCCGGAAGTAGGAAGGGGATCAGGGGCGGGGAGGACCAGTTCTGCTGAGGGAGGTGTGCGCCCGGCGGCGGGCTGCACCGAAAAGCAGTGACGCAGGTAACGGAAGGGGAGGGCAGTGTGGGGCAGGTCTGAACTGCGTTGCTAATACATAGACGCTACGCAAGCCGAAGAGGGGGGCATTCATACAACGGGAGGTGGCAGCTGCCGGAGCAGCCCCCGGCGTGCAGCCAGCGGTGGGAAGGCCGCCGCGCAGCAAGGGGGCCGAACAGGGCTTCAGTGCACGCCGTTGGCGTGGCCATTGGCGTGGCCGTTGGCAGCCAGCCCGTTGGCAGCCTTGCCATTGGCGGCCTTTCCCAGGGAGTTCTGCAGGCGGAATGGCAGCACCAACAGCGTGAAAGTGGTGCGTAGGGGCAGCCCTCGGCATGTGCCCTCCTGCGCTGCCGCAGGCGTGCAGCTGCTGCTGGCAGACAGGGCAAGCGCAGACGGCAGGGAGGCAGGGGGAGTAGGGCCTTCAGGCTCCGCCACACACCTGGATCAGGCGGGAGGGCGGCATGGGAGCGATGTCGATGCAGGTCGCGTCGCCCGGGGAGTCTGTGAGGGCCAGGGAGCAGGGCAGGGTGCACCAAGCCGCTTAGCCGGCAGTACCAGCAGTGGCAGCGGACTGAATGAGAGCGGCGGCAGCAGCAGCGGTGGCAGCGGCAGCGACGGCAGCAGGATGACGGCGGCAGCAGCAGCAGCGGCAGCAGGATGGCGGCAGCAGCTGCGACGACAGCAGGATGACAGCTGCTTCAGCAGCGGCAGCGGCGGCAGCAGTATGACGGCGCGGCAGCAGCGCGCAAGCACCCGCATCTCGGGTCAGCGCCTCCGACAGCGCCTTGGCCTTCTCCGGGGCGGCGGTCCAGGTCTGGGTGGAAAGTGAAGGGGCAGTAAAGAGGCAGTACAAGTCATGCCATGCCGCGCTTTTCCGACACCCGGTTATATACCGCCAGCCGCCACTGAAAGCAGGCAGCGGATGCGGTACAGGCAGCTGCAAGCGGTACACGTGTGCGGTACAGGCTGCCCCACCTTGTAGAAGTCGAAGGGGCAGGCCGCGTGGCCGCCAGGGCCCTCCGACGTGTAGCCGCGGTGCATGAGGTTGTAACTGCGGGGCAGGGGCCAGGCCGGGCTGGGTTGATATGATGTGATGCAGCGAGGGCAGCTGGTGATGTGGCATGGTGCAGTGCGGTGCTGCGTAGTGTGGGGGTGTGGCTTCGCTGGTGTGGCGGGCGCTCTACCCGCCTGCTTCCCTTGCCAATTGCCGCACACACACACACACACACACACCACCACCACCACCACCACCACCATCTCACATATGGTTCTCCGCGGTCCAGTTGCGGCGGGCGTTGCGGATGGCGGAGAGGGAGAGCTCGCTGTAGGTGGCCTCGTCCGGGCTGGTACCGCACTCTGCCAGGGTGGTACCGTCAAAGGAGATGATGTTGGAGTGGCCAAAGTAGCTGCGGGGAAGGTGGGGCGGGTGGTGTGGGTGCAGCGATGGTGTGGGCGCGGGTGAGTGCACGCACGCGTAGCAGGCGCCTCAGCGGCCGCCGCCGCTGGGTTGGCAAAGGGCGTGGGGTTCACAGTGTTGAGGCAGCCCTGCCCACCTGTACACCAGGTCGCGCCCCGCCATGTTGGCAACCGCCACATAGGCGTTGTTCTCCCTGCGCCGTAATGGAGCAGAGGAAGAGGCATGTGGGCACCAGCCAGCCAGCCGGGCGGCGAGCCACGCGCACGAAGCCGCTGCGCAGCCTGGGGGCTGGGGAGGGTGACCGACGCGTGCGGTGCCACAGCCCGGCGACGCCGCCTCCAGCCACGCGCCACCCCGGCAATGGCGCGCATGTCCACACCGGCGCCAGGCCAGCCAGCACAGCCGCCGCCTGCGCTCACCAGGCCCTGATCTTTGCCACGTTGATCTGCTGCTCCTTGGCGGGGTACCTGCAGTTGGGGGCAGGGGCCAGGAGGAAGGCAAGCATATGAACCAGGCGGCCACACAGGTTGCCGGAGGAGGCACGCTGGAACGTGGAGGGGAGGCTGCGCTGCGCTGCCAGCTGCGCCCTGGCCCCTTCGTCCTGATGCGGCGACTGCCGGTCTGGCGCGTGCCGCCTCAAACAGCGGGCAGCGGTGCGCAATCAACAGCAGCCCAGTGTGCCGACCCAGAGGGCAGCCGATGCAGGCTTGATGAGGCGCATACCCTCCCTCCCCCGGCTCCACCCCCACCGCAACTCCCCACACACACCGCACACCCACACCGCCACCACCGCCAGGCCAGCTCACATGTAGCCCTGGATGCGGACCAGCAGCTCCGCGCCCTTGAAGGTCAGGTCCCGCCCGATCTCAGGCATGTTCATGTCGTAGCAGATGCAGCCGCCCACCACCAGGCCCTGGGTTGCGCACGAGGTGTGGGGAGGGGAGGGGCAGGGAACGCCGGTAAACATACAACACAACACGGAGGCAGGTAGCAGGCGCAGGTAGCAGGCGCGGGGCCGTGTGGGAGGGTGGGATTGGTTGGTGGGGGAGGGGGGTGCAGAGCAGAATGGCTGGGCAGCAGCGGCAGCGGTGGCACCAGCAGCACCAGCCGTGGCGGCGGCTGCGGCGGCTGCAGGGCGGGCGTGCCTTGGGCCCGATGGCCACGCTCGTCTCGTGGCCCGCCGTCCAGGGCTCCTTTGGCACCCACGGGAAGATCTGCGGCAGAGGTGTGTGTGTGTGATGGTGGTGCAAGTGTGTGTGTGCGCGTGGTGGCGGAGAGCAGTGCGGAGGTATCTGCCACAGCGCGCCCCCGGGGCTGCCCACCGGACCGCCAACCCGTCACCACCGACTGTCCCCGCCCCATGCTCGGCACTGCGCGTGCCGCCCGTACCGCTCCTTACCTTGCGGTACACGTGGTTGATCTCGCCCTGGTCCGTGATCATAATGAGGGTGTTGTACGGGTTTTTGGCAGGGTCCGGGTGCTTCTCGCCAGTAAGGCTGAAGATGCCATACACGCCTGCAGGTGGATGGTGGGGCGAGTGTGGTGGTGGTGCGAGTGTGTGTGGAGTGGTGGTGGTGGTGGGGGGGGCGATTGGGGGTGCAGGGCGTCCACTAATGCCGGTTCGCCTCATCTCAACAGCCAGCGACGCTGACAGCCAGGATCCAGAATGGTGGCTTGCGCATGAGTGCAAATAGACGAGCAGGCAGGGAGGCGGGCAGGCAGCCCACCGTTGTCCTTGCAGGCCTGCTTGAAGACCTCCACCTCGGGGCCGTCCAGGGTGGTGGTCAGCTGGGACCACAGGGTTGGGTGGAAGCCCTGGGTACTGTACTCTGGGCTGCAGCAAGGGTGGGGCAGGCCGGGCAGGCAGCCGGTGAAGGCAGGGCCAGAACGCAAAGACAGAAAGGAAGGAGGAAGGGGAGGAAGTGGAGGCAAAAGCCGGGTGAGGGGCCTGGTGGGGCCGGTGTCAGGCGGCATGCTGCCCGCATGGGCAAGCGCTGGCTGTCACCGATGGTGCTTGTGGCACTTGGCAGCTAAGCACACGGAAGGGGAAAAGCACAAGTGGGGTGGGGGGGCCAGCATGCCACAGCCGGCCCGCGGTTGAGGATGCCCAAATGCGGCCTGCTCACAAGATCACAAGGTCCAGCCCCGGGTACCCGCGCTTCAGCCCCTGCACCGTGGCTGCAATCTTCCTGCGTGGGCAGGGAAGGGCAGGGCAGCGCGGCAGGCGAGGCAGAACGGCAGGTGTGGGGCAGGCAGGAGTGGGAGCCACAGCCGCTCGCTGCTGGCACGCTGCTGGGGCAGCTGCACAGCAGCAGCCGGCACCTGGCCAAGCGCACCGCTGGCGGCCCCCAGGGCCGGCAGGTGCCACACCGCACACACTGTCCGCCGATGTCGGCCCCCGGCAGCTGGCGGCACCTCCGCGTGACATCGCTTTCCACATGCCATCGCAAACACACCCCATTGCTCACTTGCAGTTCTCCATCACATCCTCCCGGGTCTCGCAGATGGGCACGCGGTAGTTGACCACTGCGGGGTTGACCACACGCAAAAGACAGGCGCAGGTGGATGCAGAGACGGCATACATGGCAGACGGCGGCAAGGCAGTGGGCTAGGTGGGAGTGGCGCAGCCGCCAGCACGGGTGGTGGACCAGGCGGCGGGGCGCTACCTGCCACTCCAACGGTGTCAGGGCTGGAGGAGATGCTGCCGACGGGCATGGTGCTTGGATGCAAGAGCGTAGAAGGTGCGGCCTGCAGGGCGCATGCAGGCGCAGGGGCGCAGCAGGGCCACGCGCAAAATCGGCCCCTGGGCGGCGGCAAACAGGGTGGCAGTGGCGGCGGCCATGTTGGGTGCCCGGCCGCCGCCCGCTCACACATCCTGCCATTGATCGTCTGATCCCTGATATCGCAGCAGAAGGCCCAGGCGGCCCCCCCCTACTCCGCGGCTGCGACGGCCTTAGCCCGAAACCCTAGGGGGCGCAATTGCGCACTGCCACCGCGTGTGCGCCCATATAGCCGCTGTTCTGCCCTCTTCAGAGAAGCAGCAGGGTGGCTGCCCCGCCTGCCGGTGGCAAACAGCCACCCACCCCACACATGCAGTCCTCTCACCTGCGTTTGTGGAGCCGGAGGCCGCCTGAATTCGAGAGCGCAGGTGCACCAAGCTGAGTTTTGACCGGTGTTACTGAGCACGTGGGTGGGTTGAGGTGGCATGGCGCAGGGGCCACCCGGCTGGCGCCAGAGCTTGCAAACTGGCTGCCGAGCATTCATGACCCCTGCCCCCGCTCCTGCAGCATACATGTGTAAAACACATCCAAGCTCTAAGCTCCCCACATGAAGGCTCCATCGATGGATCCTGCATGCCGAGTCGGCGGCGGCCTGGCGGTGCGGAGGACTGTCTAAGCTCTGCCCTCTTGGCAGCCTCCCAGCCGGCAAGCCTGCTGGAAAACTTGTATACATTGATATTCAGTCATCAATGGCACATCCATGGGAGGAGCCCTGCGCTGCCCCAGCTCACGGAATGGGGGAGTTGTCACCATGCAGCACTGCTTTCAGCTCTCGGCCTCCAACAGCAGCCATCAGATTCCCATGTTAATAAACACCATATCCTTCATGCAATGCTCTGCAATTTAAATGTTGCATGAAGATTACACGTTGGGTGGACAGCGCGCTGCTGCCTGCCGTAGGCGGCGGCCACCGCCACCGTACCGCGCCGCCCGGCTGGATGTACCTCCTCACACATCCCTCCGACCCGCATTGTCACCGCACTTCGATCGCCTGCTACTACTGCACCGTCTGGTCCAGGAGCAGCGTGGCATGCTGTTGAGGCAAATGGCTGGCCAAGTTCTCCGCTCGCTTACGGCGGTGAGCGGGCCGGCTTCCATATGCGAGCTGCAGCGCAGATGGCAGATGTGGCTATGAGCGCCTCCCGGCAGCCTCCCGTGCGAGCTTCTAGACCTGAACTGAGGTGGTGCACGATGCATGTCCCTGCTGCAGGCCACCACCACCGCCCGCCCCGCCACTGCTGCAGCATGCACCCCCGTGCGGGCTCTCATGGGCCGGCCGGGCCGGCCAGCAGTGGCCGCCGCCGCCGCCGCCGCCGCCGCCCGGGCTACGGCCGCCGCTGCCAGGCTGCAGTCCCGCCAGGCTCGCCGCACCATCTGCGCATCTGCAGCCACAGCGGAGGCTGAGACGTTCCAATATCAGGCCGAGGTTTGTGCCAGCTGATGGTCTCGGGCTGATTTTCAGTGGCGCCGGCAGGCGACCGCTTGCAGGCCCGGAAGCTTCTGCCGCCTCTGACGGCCGCGGCTGGCATAGCCGGGCTGGCAGCTGCATTGTGGTCTGCAGCAGACCACAGCCACTGCAACGCAGCAGCAGCAGCGGCGGCAGCAGTATGATTGATTGGCGGCGGTTGCTTGGGCAGTTGTGCCGCGGCCCTGCCCCCGCCACCCACACTCGTACTGTGCATCCGCCGCTGCAGGTGGATCGCCTGATGGACCTTATCGTCAACTCCCTCTACTCCAACAGGTGCGGCAGCTTCCGGGCAGCTGCATCGATCCCGCGGCTGCAGTGGCGGCGGGGCCAGCAGCGGGGAACTCAGCCGCTGCCGCTGCCTGCCTCCGCCTGCGGCCCAGCGGCTTGCCGACTCTCGGCCAAGCCCCGCCTCCCTCTCCCCTTCCCTCCTGGCTCCTCCTGGCATCCGGCTGCCCTCCCTCGCTGCGCCCCTGACTCCCCAGCTTGCGTTCATCCCTCCTCTCCTCCGTCCTTTCCTCCTGTACCTTTCCTCCTGTACCGTAGGGACGTGTTCCTGCGGGAGCTGGTGTCCAACGCATCTGATGCCCTGGACAAGATCCGGCTGCTGGCGGTGCAGGAGGTGGACGAGTACAAGACGGGCAGCGGTGGGTGGGACCAACGCGTCGGGCATCGTGCTGTGTGTGTGTGTATGCACGTGTGTGTGGGCGATGTTGTGCGTGTGTTGGGGGGTAGGGAGCAGGCTTTGCGGGGGGCGGGTCTGCCTGCTGAGCATTGGCACAATGCTGCCGCCGCCTGCAGAGCTGGAGATCCGTATCCGCGCCGACAAGGAGGCCAACACGATTGTGATCGAGGACACGGGGGTGGGTGGCCGCCTGCCGGCTTTCGGTCGCCTTCCGGCTGGCTTCCGGCTGGCCCAGCTTCTTGCCGCCTGCGCTTTGCCGCCTGCTCCTTGCTGCCAGCCTGCACATGGCTCTCCCCGGCTTTGGCCAGGGCCCCAGCCTTCCGTCAGCCTGGGGAGCGCGCAGCCGTGCGGCAGCAGGAAGGGCGTCCTGCCTGCTGCCGTGCCTTAAAGGCTGGGCTGGCGTGCTGCTGCAGGTGGGCCTCAGCCGTGAGGAGCTCATCAGCACCCTGGGCACCATTGCCAAGTCAGGTACGCACCGCAGCCCTCGTATGTACTGCAGCCCTTGTACGCACTGCAGCCCTCGCATTTGCTGCAGCCCTCAACCCGCGTGGGCTGCCCTGCCTTGCGCCGCGCCATCCTAATGGCAGCATGATGGCTGGCTGGTACCGCAGGTACCGCCAAGTTCATGGAGGCGATGAAGGAGAAGCACGACGCCAACCTGATTGGCCAGGTGCGGCCGGCCTACATGTGGCATCCTGCACCTAGGGAGGGCTCCTGCGGCCTGGTTGCTGCTGGAGTGTTGCAGCCGCCCAGTAGCTGCGTTGTCACATGACCAGGCCCTGGTCAGCTCTAGCCTCCTTTGAACCCTCCCTCTGTCTGGCGCGGGGCTCGATGTACCGCCAACTGTACCGTCTGTACTGCCTGCAGTTTGGCGTGGGCTTCTACTCCGCCTTCCTGGTGGCCGACAAGGTGACCGTGTCGACCAAAAGCAACAAGGACGACAAGCAGTGGGTGTGGGAGTCGGCGGCCGGGGCACACAGCTACACGAGTGAGTGGGCGTGTGGCTGTGCGGCGGCGGCCGGTGTAGACTCAAGCTGCTGCTGCCGGTGTACCCGAGGGGATGCCCGCCTGCCTCCTGCCTGCCTGACTGCCTGTCTCCCGCCTTACGGATTCCCTCTTGCCTAATGCCCCTCCCCCTCACTCGCCTACAGTCAAGGAGGACACGGCCGCCGACATCCCACGCGGCACCCGCATCACCCTGCACCTCAAGCCAGATGCCACCGAGTTCGCCGATGCGACCAAGCTGCAGGTGGGCAGGGTGCCAGGCTGGAGGGAAGGCCTGGGCTGATGGGAGCCTGGGCTGGTGAAAGGCGGATGGATCGGCGTGCCCGGAGCTGGGAGCTGGAGAGCCCGCGCTGCATGCTGCGGGACCGGGCCTGCGCCCGTGTGGGGCTGCTCGTGTGGGGCTGCCTGGCAGGCCCCACCATCCAGAGCGCCACCTGCGCAGCTCGGCTCGCTGGCCGGCTGGCGAGCCCCTGAGCCCGCCGGTGATGTCGTTGCTTGTACCGATGGTACAGCATGTACTGTCATGTACCGCCGCAGGGCCTGATCAAGCAGTACAGCGAGTTCATCTCCTTCCCCATCAAGCTCTGGGTGAAAACCTCCAAGCCTGAGCAGGTGGGCGGGGCAGTGCATGGGTGCACAGCTGGCGGTGGTGCTGTGTGTGTGTGCGAGAGTGTGGTGGGTATGGGGTTGTGCTGGCGCTGGGTGGGGAGCGCTGCGCGCAGAGCTGGCAAAACAGAGGTGCCTCCCTCTTCGCGGCAAGCGGAGTGGGTGGGGGCCGGCTGGGGTGCTTGCTGCTTGCGTCTTGCTGCGCGTGTGACGGCCCAGCCGCCTGGTACCGGCCCATACCGCCGCCCGCCTCCCAACCGCAGGTGGTGGATGAGGAGGCGACTGCCAAGGCGCAAGAGGAGGCGGATGCTAAAGCCAAGGAGGAGGGCAAGGAAGAGGGGGCGGAGAAGGTGGCGCCAGGTCAGCGACGACGAGGCCGGGCTGCCGCTCACGTGCAGCTGGGCTTGCTGCCGCCGCCCTTCAATGACACGGAGAGGCTGGCAGTGGCCGAGCGCCAGGGCTCCTGCCTGCCTGCTTGCCTGCTCAGCGAGGCTCCCGGCATGCCGCCGCCGCAGCATGCGAGCCACACATGCCTCCTGCTCGCCCCTGGCCCGTGGTCCTGCAGTGATGAAGACCGAGTACCGGGAGGAAGCTGAGTGGAAGGTGCAGAACGACAACAAGCCGCTGTGGCTGCGCCCCGCCCGCGAGGTGGGCAAGGAGGAGTACGACGCTTTCTTCAAGACCACCTTCCGGTGAGGGGCCTGTGGCGTGGGGGTGTCTGGTGGGTGTGCTGTCTTGCGTGCAGTGTTGTGTGTGTGTGTGTGCGCGCGCGCGTGCGCA